TTAAACTGGGAGATATCTATATTGATCACACTGCTGTGTGAATCTATGTTTAGAGGTGCCTCTTTCTTGGGTGTAGGTGGAGCTTTTATTAACTTCTCTGAAATATTCCCCATAGAAATGTAGTCCTGTTTCAGGGTTTTAATGTTTAATAGTGATTTATTTTAGGTTGACAGAAGCAATGGTCCAGTTATAGCTGCGTTTAACTTAGTGCAACCTGCTTTTTTTGTCCCAGAGGACATAAAAATTAGCCCAGATGTTTAGCTGTGGTTATTTTATTACTATCATTATATTTATGATACTTTCCTTTTTTGTTATTTATTTATTCTTACAAAGTGTCATTCTAACCCATTATTCCATGTTTAGGTGTATTTTTATTTTTTTTTCTGGAGGGAACAATTATTGCTGATTTTGACTCTGCAAGTTTAACTTTCCCTGAGAAGGTATTCCTGGCTCAGTGCTTATGTATTGATCTGTCTTTCTCATTTTGCCTTTCCCAGAGTCCATTGTTCTGTCTCCTTCCTTTTGACCTCCACCAAATATTTTGAGATGGTGGTGTATATAATGGCCTGGTTTTGCTGCCATTCCCTGTCTGTGAAATACAGTATATATCCAGCATTCCAATGTTGTTTTGTATTATTTTAAATGTTTTATTTATTTATATATATATTTTTTGTTATATTATTTAGGAAGAATTGGAATAATCCAAATTGAATTTGGACACAGCTTGATTCTGCATAATTTGATAAAATTTGATGTATTTTTTTGCAAAGCACCTTGACACATGTTTTTGTGAATCCTAACCAGAAACACTGTAATGAAATTAATCTAACAACAAATGTAAATAATTCATTATCCAGTAGCTTGGTTAGCAGTTTTAAAGTCAATTTTTTTGGACCCAACAGACTTCTCCATTGGTGCACTCAACTATAAATCAAATACAGGAGATTACAAAAATAAAGAGTAACTTAATGGTACTTACATATTCTTTCTGTAAATGTCTGGTATTATGTACCATTAAAGCTGTAGTATCATAAAGTTGCTGGAAGGTACAGCTGCATTTAAACGCGGCAGGAAGTACAACACTCCAGTGAATCCCCAGAAGCATCAAAAGAAGCACTAAAAAAAAGAAAGAGATGACAAACATATAGTAAGAATTAGAAATGTTCATTAATTCAGTAGAACATTTTAAAAGTTAGTCTTGGTTGTGGGTTTTACAAGCGTGGAAGAAAAATGATGGTTATATGATAAAGCTGGATTATAGTTGTTTGTGTGTTTTGTTGACTGATTTTAACTCGATATTTGAATGTTCCTTAGCTCTCTTTTCTTACCCTAATGCTACATTCACACCGGACGTGCTTTGGGCAGCAAAAAAAGCTCCTGCTGCTTCATTTTTGATGCTTGAACACATTAAGGTCAGATGCACATCAGGAGCATTGTCGATGCTCCTGATGTGCATCGTGTGAAGTGTTTACAGATGTGTCTGCTGCTTCTGCTGCTCCTGTGTTCAATGACAGGGAGTGGCTTTGCAATATTTGCCGTTATAAGCAGGTAAAAAGTAGTTTTAATGTATCTTTAAGTGAGAAAGTCCACCTCAAAACATATCCTGTGCAGTCAGTTCATCAAGTATGGAAGCCGAGAGAGGTCGTGTCCCTCTGATACTTTTTCAGCGGGGTTTTCTCAAGAAAACGAGTAAATTTTCTCATTATCTAAAGATAACGAAAGCCGTTTTCTCATGATAATGAGATGATTGGTGTGTGTTAAAACTGATAACATCCTTCAATACTACAACAGCGGGAGAGGATTTTAAGTCATGGCAGCCTATATGTAATACTTTAGATTAACCTGTGATTAAGTTTTAGGTAATGAGACAACATTGTTGGTTTGATAATTTGCTTCCACATCTGATTCATGAGTAATTAGACCTATGTCTCCGATGCCTTAGTGCCTGGTGTTTTCTGAACAGCCCCGGTGTTACGCCTGTAGCAGGGATAAGATGCATGAACCCCCAAAATGAGTCCAGATCAAAGATTTTTTCATTAAAGAACAGTCAGATTTGTTTCTACTGTATTGCATGTAATCCAATCATCCACCACGATCTGACGATGATTGAAAAGAAAAAGGAAACTAAAAAACTGATTATTTACGCACATGTAGTACCGCGACTGCGCAACTACTGGCACCGCAGGCATGGGAGGACTGGGAATCCAGGGCTATTGGCCAGCCTCATTCATAACTTATACAGGTTAATCATGTCGTTATCTCAAGAATTGAATAGCTGTTTTCTCGTGATAACGAGATAATAATTTTTTTTATTTCGAGAAAGCAATTAATTGTTTAAGAGTGATAATGTCATTATCTCGAGAAGGCATAGGATACAAAGAAATAAAATCGAGTACGACCACTCTTGGGTTCCGTAATTAAGATAACGATCCTGCCATAATTTTTTTTTTTTTTTGCTGTCGGAGCTGCTCAGACCCCCACATACCGGCGGTGTGCTGTCACTGGGAATCCCCAGCAGCAGCTGGGAGGTTTCCGCTACTGTTCGTGGAGGCTGGAAGTATGCTAACGTTTTACAGGTATGTCGTAGAAACTGCAGGCACCAGACTAATAAAAGCGAACATATTTTGCCAATAGATTTCGATGTTTTAAGTAAATCTAAGCATTAATGAACATTTTCAGTGGCAGTTGATGCTTGTGCAGCGTGTCACGTGCCTCAGCTGCTCAGAAGCACTGCATCAGCTGCTCAGAGGTGTCAAGATGCGCTGCTCCTGCTGCTTGAGACGTGCTGCAGGACCTTTTCATACGCCTTGATGCACGTCAACTATTGACTTTGCATGTAAAAAAGCTGCTTCTGCAGCTTCAATCCCTGCCATAATCACTTTTGTTTAAATTTAAGTGGAACCTTAATGGAATCACAAAGACAGAACAGAAATGTAACAAATTTAACAATATTACAAAGAATTCCAATCCTGGAGACTTCATTTTACCAAACACTATTTCTAGAGTGGTTTTAATCGGCCATTTACAAAGAACTTCCACCAAATAGATGAAGCTGCAGCAACAAAAACATGCGGAATTATAAAGTATAAGAAGACACTAAACTGAGCCTCTAAGGCAGGGCTGTCAGACCCTGTCAGACCCGAGGCCCTCAGGGGCAGGTAACCTGGAACTTTTAGATGTATCCCTGGTCCAAAACACCTGAATCAAATGTTTGAATAACCTCATTGCATAGCCAAGCTCTAATGGGTCCTGCTAATGACCTTATTATTTGATTCAGATGTGTTAAAGCAAGGGCACATCTAAAAGTTCCAGAACAACGGTCCACCAGGATTTCAGTCTGAGACCCCTTACCCAAAGCTAACAGATATTTTAAAGTGCCTTGAAATAGTCTGCAGAATTTCATGTTTTAAATGTTGATCTAAATCAACGATATTGTCTAGAAAGGGACGCAGAAAACCCATTGTTTGCATAACCAAACTACAAATATAGCCCAAAATTGAAGACATTATCCACAGATCACTAGAATGATTTTTTTTTTTCTTTTTTATGTCCCTTTAGCGGATCAGCACAAGAAGAAAATCGATATACAAGAATGCAAATAGAAAATTGAAAATTTTTCCAAAAAAAAAAAAAAAAAAAATTATAAATTTACTGGACCTGTTCCAGACCTTTGCAATTATTAAAAACTTACTGTTTTCTTTTTGGCTGAACCGAGTCTTTTTTTAATCAGACACAAGCCTAACACTAAATATGTATATTAGAAAATTAAAGTGTTGAAATCTGTATGGTTTATCAGGCAAAATCTCTATAAAAACAATGTTTTTAAAATCCTCGGCCACTAAAAAAAAAAAAAAAAAAAATATATATATATATATATATATATATATATATATATATACAGAGTACTTACCAGAGTGTCTTTGAAATCCATTGCAGGCAGAATCCATGGTGACAGCAGAAAGTGACTTTATTACCTCAAATCGTGGTTCTTCATTGAATACACGAGCCCATAGTATTTATAGTGCTTAACGCCCACCTCCTTTTAATTCTGTCATTCACAAATTCCATTGTATATCTCGGGTCATCTGTGTCATGACGGAGCATTCCTTATTTTGTAACGTCAAAGAGACAGATTAATTTGCAGGTATTGTCCAATTTCACCTGCAAAATGTTTTAATATTATGTGCTGCATTAATATCAGTGTGAATTAAGTTAACTTTCCTAGTGTATCAGAAATGTGTTCTTTTATGTCTGTGAGAAAAATTAAGTTTTACTTTTCTCACATCAGTATTAATATAACTACTCTAATATAACTACTCTATAATAACTATAAGACTATAATAACTCTATAGACTATAATTAAATATAGACTATAGACTATAAATATAAAAAAATATATCTTCTATGCAATTTTCCTCTTCATGCATATGCGTAGATTTCTAACTATTTCCGAATGGCAATGGAGTAGATAAGATATAATTTTTTCTTCAGTTGGTCTGAAGAGATACTAGATTACTTTTTTTCCTGCCAGAAGGTAGATGTGGTTTCCTTATATGGCATCTGAAGGCGTTTAAATGTTCTTTTATGTTCAAATACATGATTGAACCTTATGGATCAGAATTACGAAAAAAGAAAAAGGTAAATTAAAAGTAAATTATCCATCTTTTCAGTTCTTTAAGCAGTAAATACATAAATAAATTTCACTGTTGTGTCATAATGCTTTTCTAGATGCAAAGATTTGCTGTTCTCTACTTTCTTCAAAACAAAGATTCATGTCTGATCCTGGGCTTCCAATGAAGAGATGATAAACCTTCCATTTAAAGCCAGGAATATGAAGGAGTGACGGTAAACTAATAACACCTTAATCACTGCATTAGTTTTCTTATAAAAACTTCTATTAACTCTAACCCATTTGAATCAGGAATGAGTGAGATGATTTAACCCACCATGCTCTTAAACTTGAAGTGAAACAATTTTCAGTCACTTGACAATAATAGGTTTTAATAGGTTGTTTTTATTAAACATAGGAAGCAGCACAAACATTACAAATGTTACAGAATACTTGAGATTGTATAAAACGTAGTTGTACCAAAGAAGACTGCTGATTGAAATTCACTAAATCAAAGTTTTATTGTGCAAGTAGCAAATATCTAAGACATAGTGTTATTGACCTTGACTCGTTTAAACAAGAAAAAATGCTGACCTCTTATAAAAAAAAGTTTCATAGGCCACATTCTCATCAAATGACGAGCAGAACACTTTTTTTGAAAGACTCATATTGCTCGTCACTAAGCAATTAGCATGATCTCTGCTTTTACTTTTGAAAATAAAGCACAACGTGTATTAACACAATATATTTAGATGAGCTAAATAATGAAACTAATGCTGGATGTTTTTTTTTTTTTTATTTCAAGTTTTTCCGCCAAAAAAGGATGTGTTTTAAAAGGTATGACACATCATCCCATGGCCATCCTGAGCAAGCTCACTTTTTGAAGCAAGACTTTCTGATGCTCAGTTTCCACTATATGAGTAAACTTAAGGATTACAAGAAGTTTATTTTCCTGTTGCTTGTAGTAACAGAGTTAGAACAGATTTGCAAAACAATACTAAAAAAAAAAAATAAAAACAGAACTAAAGACCTATGATTGATATCGCTTATTTTTCTTCTCTGCATTCAGATCAAAAAGCAGAGCTGATTTCCTCCTTACAAAACAAAAACATGTAAACACGGATGTATACACATTGCATGATAAGTGGGGGAATAAGTTAATTGGTAAGTTTTCAAAATGACACCACAAAAAACAGCATTAGTCTTATTATTTATTCTGTCGATATGAAAGGAAGACCATATTTTTAGGTTCTTTGTATTTAGGACTTAGGCTACATAAGGGAGTCCTTCTTTAAAACTATTTGCTTTCAAATCATTTACCAGATATATCTCCTGGGATCCTAGAAAAACAAAGGGTCTGTTTTACAGTTTCATGTCTGATAAGTGCAGTTTTTTTCTGCAAGTGGCTAAAGGAGCAGTTGTGCTCTGTTGTGTGCATAAGTTTGTACTTAAAGGGCCCCTATTCTGGGGACGGGGTCTGCATAGCTGTTCTAGCTTAACTAAGACAAGAGAACTCATACAGCTGTGCATGAACACTATAGAGAAGTGCTTCTGGTTTCTAGTGGCAAACTTGTAGTCGTTAATACTGCTGGCAATGCAGCGGTGTTCTAGGCACAGTTAGCCTCCTCTACTGATGCTGCAGTTCAAAGGAACCTGAACGAGAAGAGGGATCATGAAGCTGAAACCAGGAGGCCCAAATATCATGTGGTGGCTGGTTCTTTCCTCTGGTTGTGCAGCATGTCTGTCACACTCACTATATCCTCCTCAGGGACCTAAAAGAAAAAAGTTAAAGGACTTTACAAGCTTTACCATACAGGAGTGGTGAATATAATACCGACACACATCATGGGCATTGATGTTTTTTTCAATGTTCGTGTTCTTTTAAAATAGTTTCTAAGAAGTGTGCAGTTTAGGCATAAATCGATAACCAAGAATCAATATAGTTTAGGGAGAAAAAAAAATGTGCGTCATGGAAGTCATTTGTGCAGGAATTAAAAGGTACTTATTGATAAAATTGATAAGATTTAAGTAAAAACAGTAGCTCTGTTACTTTTTCCAATCATGCACATCAATGTCATCCTTCTCATTTTCTCAGCAATTTCAGTTTTAGTGTTTTTGGAACTTTTCAGCAATGAAAAAAAAAAGACTTATCAATGTAAAAAGGGTTTGAAAGCTGACAATAAGATAAAGTACAGAAAAAGTATATGAATAAGAGTATGATGTAGGGCGGGCAGTTAATAGAAGTTTCAATATAGTGGCAGTTTTACAAAAGATTTTAAAAAGGCACTGACTGAGTAAGACATGGACTTTCACACTCCAGTACTTTTGGTGGCAGTAATACACTAAAGGTGGGTTTCCTGCCCCAAAGAAGAGATGGGAGAGTTGTAGCTGCGTTTCCATATATATATANCTTACACAATATTCTTAAAAGAATAAAATTTGGAGATAATGTTTATTTTTGCTATCAAATATTATAAGAAAAAATATAGAAAAGTAAATGGCCAATTTTCTCCTTAGGTTTCTAAGGTGCACCGTTCTTTGTTGCATTTCTCTAGTATTACCCGCTTTACATTTTTTCCCCAGTCCCCCAGCCTCTTTAGAACGGTCAATCCATAGCATTTCTGGTAATAGGTGCTCATATTGGGCTGCTGCAGTGGTTCAGGTGTTATTAGCACAGGCATAGAGGGATTCATTTCTTGAATGTGTTTTTTTACTTTATCACACATCGCTTTAAGTCTTGCCTTAGGTTCTAAAAATTCCTTCTCCAGGTCCAGGGTCATATTAAGGTCTTGAACATATTTTTCCACTTGTTGGAGATGAGCCTGGAAAAGCAGATTCTTAGTGTAGATGTCTTGCAGCTTCTCAGCAAAGCTGGAACCATTCACCGTGTCACTTGGAATGTAAGATATAGTGGCTTTCCCGGGTTGTAAGGTACCATTCTGTGGCAGAAGAAATAAATTAATATTTTAGATTTAGACAAGAGGGAGTCACTAAGCTATTAGATTTAAACATTTCAGTAATTAGCAGGTCAAAAAGCAGTGACTGCTGAAAACTCTAAAGTTTGGAAAGCAGCAGCACAACACAGATGATTTCAGTATCTTTAACTGCTGATTAAAAAATATATGTAGTCCTCAATATATCTCTGTCTGAATTGAGGAAGTTAATGGTCATTTACGCTCAACAGACACATGTTTCAGAGGTGTTTATATTTTGGATGGCTAGTTTTTTTTAGCTTAAAAAAGAAAGGGATAATAAAACCATTGTGTTGCTGTAGAGTACATTGTTAAACTGGGAGATATCTATATTGATCACACTGCTGTGTGAATCTATGTTTAGAGGTGCCTCTTTCTTGGGTGTAGGTGGAGCTTTTATTAACTTCTCTGAAATATTCCCCATAGAAATGTAGTCCTGTTTCAGGGTTTTAATGTTTAATAGTGATTTATTTTAGGTTGACAGAAGCAATGGTCCAGTTATAGCTGCGTTTAACTTAGTGCAACCTGCTTTTTTTGTCCCAGAGGACATAAAAATTAGCCCAGATGTTTAGCTGTGGTTATTTTATTACTATCATTATATTTATGATACTTTCCTTTTTTGTTATTTATTTATTCTTACAAAGTGTCATTCTAACCCATTATTCCATGTTTAGGTGTATTTTTATTTTTTTTTCTGGAGGGAACAATTATTGCTGATTTTGACTCTGCAAGTTTAACTTTCCCTGAGAAGGTATTCCTGGCTCAGTGCTTATGTATTGATCTGTCTTTCTCATTTTGCCTTTCCCAGAGTCCATTGTTCTGTCTCCTTCCTTTTGACCTCCACCAAATATTTTGAGATGGTGGTGTATATAATGGCCTGGTTTTGCTGCCATTCCCTGTCTGTGAAATACAGTATATATCCAGCATTCCAATGTTGTTTTGTATTATTTTAAATGTTTTATTTATTTATATATATATTTTTTTTAATTCAAGAATAAAATTCTATTATTATGTGGATAAAGTCATAAAATTGATTGAAAAAAATAAAACTCATCTACATGCATCTACATGTGATTAGTGCAAAGGAAGAGCAAACTAAAATCAAGATGGCCTAGGCGATTTTGGTTGAAAAAAAGAATATTTCTTTGGTAAAATCGTTTAGCCCTGGTTTAAAGGAGAATTTCCTCAACAAAGACATAGCAAAACGAACAGACAGTAGGCAAGTTTATTTTTATGGCACATTTGGTACAAAGACAGTTAAAAGAAGCTGTGGATTGAAATCCAAAACCACATAACCATGATGGAATGAAATATTTGCAAACTGCCAGTGTACCTGCGTTAAGTCATTCATAGGCGTTCAGTGGCGATCCCTGATGATTCGCTATATTGAGACATTGACCATAACCTCTTCACTTAAGTGATGTAGGTTTTATTTAGGAATAGCTTAAAATATATCCACCATAACATCTATTTAGCAGACTTTTTTTTTTCCTCGGGGTGTTTATTTCCCTCTCATTATTTCCCTTTGCAAAACCTGCCATGTGTCATTTTACCAAAAACATAGCAATGCTGAGAGTGCCCAAAAATAGAATCATTGCACGATGACAGAGGAAGGTGACAGTGGGACTGTTGAATAGTGAGACACTTTTTTATCAATTACAACGTTTTATTTACTAATGTTGACAGAGATGGCTAAGGTTATAATTATTCTGACTTATTGTTAACCTTTGGGAAGTTACCTTTTCTTCATGCCTTGTCACAACCCCCACCCCAACCCCCCATCTCCGTGGTTTCCACCTATGGGCAAAGCTGATAATCTTCCTCGACAACTTATCAACTGCTCAATTTAGAGACTTTCTCAGAAGGGTAGAAGTGATAGCAGTGTAGACGCAAATTCTTTTTTCTTTCCTTTGCATATCTTATGATTTACTATTATCAGGCTCCGTTTGTGGTTTGCAAAGTAAAGAATTTGATGACACAAACAAAATGTAATGCAATGACATCCTGCAAAATAATGCATGGAAAGGAGTAAACAACTGAGGCCATCATTGGGTGGAAAATTTAAAATAATCATTACATGCACATGAAAACATGCAAGTATTCAACATCACAGGTTCAGATTTGATTAGCACTGATTAAACTGCTCAGGCATTACTGAAAAAAAAAAAACAGTTACAAAGAAACATAATTAATGTGTGAGCAAAAACCGAGCTGCTAAATATACTGAACTTCTCTAAAAGATGTTGGCAGTTTGCTGTTTTGGAGCTACAGGTGTGTTCAAGCAATACCAAAGTGGAAACAATCCTGTGTCTCAGCTGTAGCTGCGTTTCCATTACAAATGTGCGCAAAAATATGAAATATTTTATGTTATATTCTGCTAATTTTGTGAAAGCAACTGCGCTATTTCCATCAAATATGAAAACATTATTAAAATTGCCTGAGAACATGTTGACGAGATATCGCAGGAAATTGTTTTGAATTTATATTCAATTCCCATCCAGGTTGGATGCAATATTTATGTTGTGAATAACTGTTATATTCAATTCCCAGCCAGCTGGGAATTCATATTTTCTGATACTTTAAGATGTGTATTGCCTTCCCTGGTACGGGTGGTAAATATCTTATTAAATCAGATATTATTTGGGCTTTTATATATGGATTGTGAACACACGCCTTTAACGAGCAGTTGGACAGGTGTACCTAATAAAGTGGCCTGTGAGTGTAAGTTCTCCTTATAAATTCAAATATGCTGTGCTATCATTCTCCAACTACTTCCAGTCTTCTTCCTCTTTTTACAAGGCATATAGGTCCAATTGTGTGATGCAAAAAAAGCCTTTCAATTGCCGTTTTGAAAAATAGTTTTTCGAAATTACAGTGTTTCGATTCCACATATTTATTTTCATAATTACAATTTGTGTGATTTGACGGTTAATGGAAGCACAGCTAGTCTCTTACGGCAGCTGTTGGGACAGGAGAAGAAGGATTGAGCATCGATGGTGCTGGTGGTCCAGGGCAGTGGTGTCAAAAGTACTCACATTTGTTACTCAAGTAGTAGTATAGATATTGCAGTTTAAAAACACTCTGGTAAAAGTTGAAGTATCAACTTAACCTCATTACTCAAGTAAAAGTAAAACATATGTGCTCCAAAAACTACTTAAAGTATAAAAGTATAAAGTAACCTTTATTAAAACAACCAGATGCCACTATATGAATTGAAAGCTCAATTTTTCGACTATTTCGAAAAATTCTTTGAGATGGGGCCATGGATGAGGGAGGTCTTGTTGTTCTCCGTCTCCATCTCCCGATACGCTTTGCCTGTGTCAGACCTTTCAGACATTTAAACATCTTTTTCTAATCCGACATTGTAGCATGGCATTGACAATTCGTGTTTGCAGTTTCAAGAACACCTGCTTGCTTCTGATGATTTTGTGTTTGCGTTATATGACTCATCCAATTACACTAGTTTTCACTAGATGTGGATTGCGCCAATGATCTGCATTGGATGGCGCACATGATGGGAAATAAATATTTAGAAACATTAAACCAGTGGTAACCAATTAAAAACCACGGGGGTCCATATAAAGAAAATCATCAACGAGTAAAGGTCCAGAGAAATTTTTAATGATCTGTTACCTTAAACAGAATTTAACACAGAAATACAATTAGGTATTTATGCATCCATGTTATACATTGAATAAAAAAAAAATTACTTAAATTAAAATAGAAATTGCCAAAAATTGGATCCCGTGCCATCTCAGAGGAATTACACTTGTATGACTGTATTCCTGTATATCCATCAGTAGTTAGTAGTAGGGCAACAGTCAGCAAATGCAAATTCTGCCCTGTAAAACAATAACAGACCAATTGCTGCTGTATGATCTGAACCCTCGCTTGGAGCTTTTAAAAAGGCTTTTGAAAAACTTTGATAAATTGCTGTTGTAATATTATAGATTTTTTAGAATAAAAAGCTAGTAGATGTGCATAATTACAAAATAACAGAAATACAATTATAGAGCATTCAGTACTGTATGAAAGCCCACACTGTTTCTGAATAAATACATTATTGTATGAGTTAAAGTCTCGGGCAAGTTCTGTTTATGCCTCTTTACTTGTAAGTATGAAATGTCCCATACTCCTGAATGCACCATAGCTATCTGACGCTCGTGAATGCATCACACTGGTCTGTGTAGATGCGCGTAGAAGCTTTGCAGTTTCCAAACAATAAATAAATCAGCCACACCTCGGACACAATCTTTGGATTTAATGTTGTTCATAACACCCGTACAGGGGATGCACTTTTCAGCATAACATCGGACCGCTAATCCGTGACCTCTGCATTAAACCGAAGCCAAGAGTAACGAGTAACGGTCGTCTTAAAAATGTAAGGATTAGAAATTCAGATATTTGTGTGAAAATGTAATGAGTAGAAGTCAGAAGTAGGAGGAAAAATAAGTAATGGAGTAAAGTACAGATACCTAAAAAGTATACTTAAGTACAGCAACGAAGTATTTGTACTTCGTAACTTGACACCTCTGGTCCAGGGGAATGTAGAATACCTTCTGCAAGATCTGGACTCAGCATATTAATATACAAGTCCAGATTTTGGGCAGATCAAACCCACCCAAGCTGCTTGTCCCACTTCCATCAGAAGAATGGTTCAGCTGCATTAAATCCAGAAAAATCAAACATTTTTCTTCCCTCCCAAACCTGTGAAGGCAGTCAACTCCTGTAGACACTCAACTGTCCAGTTCTCGATCAGTACCCTATGTAAATAAACCACGGTAGATGCTCCAATTTGCCTTCTGACATACCTCATCATTTTATGTTTTTTAGCTCTCCGTGCTCAGTCTGAGTTGGTGAAAAAAACAAAACATTATGGATCCATAATGATAATAAAGATGTTTTATTATTATGTTAGAAAGATATGAGAAATAACCCCGAAAGTATGAAAAAGGAGCCGAAGCGCACTGATCCAGGAAGACGATTAGGTCATTTCCAAACGAATTTCAGAAAACCATTTTAAAGTTAGAAAGAGTTAGAACTATAAAGGAAAACCTTTAAAGGACAGATGTGTGTTTCACTGGGAGGGATGTCGTATAACCTTGTCTTTAAGCTCACAATAGGGAGAACCCATCTTCTCCTGCCTCAACTGTTGGAGAACCGATCAGAATTCAGTTGGCCAATCGTTATGGCCTAAGTAGGGCTGGGTGATTAATCGATGTTATTGATTAATCAAAATGTTTTTGGTTGTTTTCCAATTCAATTCTGGAAACACCTGAATTTTCAGACTGACATCAGATTATTAGTTTTTCTTCTTAGATATATATTCATAACTAATAAACTAGCTCTCTGTGTGATCATACCGCTAGCTGCAAATGTTTAGTGTAACATATTTTAAGTACAAGTCATTTTTACTAAAGGTGAAGTTCTGGCCCTGATGGTGTTGGAGGACAATTGACTGATGGGTTGGATGGTGAGATTTGTCTGTAATTTTAAGAAAAAAAATGAATGAAAAATGAAAATAGTCTGACTGATTCATGTATGCTGAGTCCTTATGATTGTTATATTATATGCTTTTTACAAACAAATATTTTTTTCTATGTAGGCACAAAAATAAGTAATTAATTGAAATAAAACAAAAACCCAGAAGCTCTTTGGATTTAGTAACTCACACTCATCATTGGAGGGATCAAAGGGTCTGCAGGTCTTAAAATTAAGTGTAAAGCTGTTTAAAAAAATGGCCAAAATTAAATATAAACCTAATATATGGAAAAACTAAGTACAGCCCATGATGTTTCTCCTGAAAACCTTTTTTTTGGTTTGCCTCTTGCATTTTTCCTCTAAATCACAAGACTGGATTACACTTACAGGAAAACCCTCCAGTAACTTTGAGTCATCTGTCTTCAAGAAGATTACGAAAGCTCCATACAAAGTTCTTTGGATATATATATACTTCAATTTCTTGAATCTAGTTATCAATGCCAGACATAGAATTGAAATTGAAGAATTGAGAAGAATTAAAAAAGAAGTGAAATTGACCCATAAATGTATTTGGATGTGGCTTGAAATGGTTGTGGACTCACCAGCGCATGGTCAAAGCTGAAGGTGCTGATGTAGTAGGCAGAAATGTCCCCATCTGCAAGGGGCTGAGATATCTGGGCGACTATGCCACATTCATCTGAAATACAGGAAATGATATTGATGTCAAAGTTGAAGAAGAAAAACTTTACACGTAGCAATGAAATATGGACTAGAAAGTCTTCATGAAAAAGAGGTCAGTGCAATGCAGAGAACTGCCAGTGGTAGATGTTGATACAGGTAATATGGTTCAACACCCAAGGGTCAATTTCAAAAAGCAGGGTTACTGAAAATTCAAAGCTTTTTATATCCAAAATCAGGAAAAATCCGTTTTTTTAGCCCACAAAAATAGTTTACTCAATGTCTGTTGACATCCTGCCCCAGAGCTAACCTGGTAGGGAGCCGGTTTTGTTCAGTTAACTAGTGTCCCCTATCTCCTCTCTCCTTAGAGCTACGCCAGTTTTTATTATTTCCTGATTTAGTCAGGTGATTTCTATCGTCGTTTTGTGCACACAAAAAAATAAATAAATCACTCAGTATGTTAGACACATTAGGTTTTAAAAACGAACATTACGTGTCCTTTAGATGAGAATTTGATTAAAGAATCATCGGCATTAATGCGCAGAGAATTAAATATTTATAGGGAGAGAATTCTACAACTCAGTTGAAAGGATATGAGATTTATTTGTTTGTGGGTTATTTAATATGAACCACATGTGGATAATTTATTTTTTTACAGTACATGAAGAACTAATGAAATAATTTTCAGATTATAGATTAATAGATTTATTAGTTACACAAGGAAAAAAATTATTACTTTAGGGTTAGGATCGGGATTCATTTAGTGATACTAATCAATTGAGCCTAATGGTAGGTAGGAGGCACAATCTGAAGCCATTCTATGGCTGTGTCTGAGTATTTGCCCTTATCATTTCTTTTTGACTATTAAGCTAATGTAACGTGAGATCAATGAAGTCAATCAATCAAACAATCAATCACTATACAGGGCACTACAGTTGAGTGTCTGAACATCTAGTAGATCAAAAAGTAGAGGAAAGCTCTGTAAATCTCTTTTAGTATGTATTTCAAGGGTGAAATATAAGTAAGTCTGATCTCAGTGAAATAAATAAAATAATTATTGGCCCATTATTGACCAAGGGGAGGCAAAAGTTAAACTACTGAACTCTTAATATTCTCGCATATGATAAAGTCATATAATCTGATCAAGTCATGTTTTAATCTGGGTTATCATTAATATATAATAAAGGTTTTTGTCTATCTCTATTTTTGAAACTTTAAGGTTGGACCAAATTTGTCCACATTATGAATACTTACAGTATACATTGACTTATCCATTTGCACTTAATAAAAAAAAAGAGAGATTCAATGTGGAAAAAAAAAATGTAGAACTGTAAATTTACAGTCATTTTTACTATTTTTCAAGGCTGCACTTTTAAAAAGATGAAATTGTCCAGTGAGCTGTTTCCAAATGAAATTTCTAGATTTTTATTAAGGAAGACTATAACGCAGTTTCTATCTGCAATACATCCAAATACATTAAACTAGAGATTAACATGGTCTTATAGGAATTTATTTTTAAATCTCTGACTCTGTTTAATAGTATTAAATATGCTGGTACGGTAATCAATATTAGCTTTAAAAAAAATAAAAAAGGTATTTTAAGGCAAGTTTTCTCACCAAAACCCAGCGGTTGTCCACCTATACGAACCATCCTCCACAGTTCTCCTGAGGAGCTGGTGAACAGAAGATCAGCAGGAAATCTAAAAAAAAAAAAAAAAACATTTTACCAAACAGAAAAAAAAAACAAGCACACTGCATCTAATTGTATCAGTTTAATTTAGAATAAGACATCTAAATAATTTCCGATAGTTTACTGCAGAGTGCTGCACTTAATGTTGATCTAAACATGGCAATAATCTGGGCGGCTGAGGCCCAGACTATTGCCATTGTCAAATTTACAAAGAAATGCTTACCGTCTCTGAGCCTCAGTGTCCATCACCAGTGAGATATATCCCTCAATAAGCGAGAATGAGAAGAACTTAATGCAGTCCAAGTCCTGATCTGCTGACGAGCCGCTGTCCTCTTTGGGACTAAAGACAAAGATACATTCAGCAGAGAAGCTTTGATTCAGACGCCCCTGTGTCTTCATATATTGATTCATAGCACTGAGCAAGATATAACTGATGCATCAATTGTTATGATTTTTAGCTTTTAATAAATACATTTTTTTTTTTTTATTAAGTACCTTAGGAAAAAGAAAAAGTATTTAAAAAGAATATTTTTTACAATTTAAACCAAATAAGGAATTCAGTTTGACATTGATTATTATTTAAAATAATAAAGTGCTTATTTTAAAGTGGATGGCAAAAATAACTGCAGACTTCCAGTTTAAAGGTTTGACCAGTTCACTTTGTGTAATCTGAGCGAATAAATAAATGAGATTGTGTGCTGCCATCTTGTGCTCCAGAGGAGCATTACAGGCTCACCTATTGGAATAAAAGAGGACATCAATGAGCAAGGTTGCGATGGAGGGTAGTGTTTCCGGGTCCAGAGACATGACACAGAACTGGTTCTGAGGGATCAGCACCGGGTGAACTGTAGGTTGGATGGCTGGAGGAAGAAAACACAACAATGTGTTAACGTTTGGATTAAGAAACAAAAGTTGGGATTATCTGTTTAAGATTCCATTTGATCCCAAGAAAAGTACTTTTCTTGTTTTTTAACACAAGAATCACATTGAAAACAGGAATTTAAAAAAGACAAATAGGACACCTTAATAAAAAACTCAAGTTCAACAAAAAATTCAGTGAGTACTTTTTTACTTATTTCTAAAGATGTCAACATTTCCATCATTCTCAAAACAAATTCAAGAGTTTGGTGCAATTTCCCTCAACATCAAATATTAGCTTAATCCTACATTTTACTAAACTATTTCGAAAAGCACAAATATTTAAGGTTGGGTCAGAAAAACGGGATGTAAAATCTACATATATGGACCAAAACCTTAAAAAAGGCAGATATTTAATGATTAATGAATGTATGATTAATGAATACAGAAGAAAAAAAAATAGTTTTCAAGCATTTGAATCAAAAGTGAGAAATCTGGTTATCTATGTGAAGGAGGAGCTGGGAGAAGAATGCAGCAAACTGTAATTATGCTTTGTCAAATATGTTGTTTTTGTTTTAATTACATTAGAATGCATGTTTTTCTTATCAGGAAAGATTAATCCAAATAAATGGTTTCCATTATTTTCAAATGAAATTTAAACTTTACTTCACCTAAAAACAGGATTTCTAAGCACTGGCCAATAATCCTATATTGCTTAGATGTGTGCAAACCAGCTTTAATGTTTATTTCTGAACCAATTGGAAGTACTAATAATAGCACTGGAATGTTAGCTTCGTGCTTTCAAGATTTCACTCGCTAATCAGTCTGGAGACTCTCTGTTGAAGAAAATTTGGAACAGTTCACCAAACGAACGTCCAATCAGCGTTGGCTTTGAGGCGGGTTGAGGTGTGACACAACGAGAAGCGCGACAGTTCAGTCTAAAGAACATGGCAGCTGATGAAACTAGCGTTAGCGTGGCTATCGAGCAAGTTTTATCGGAATTACAGAGTATTTCTTCACTGAAAGAAGAGCAAAACACTGCTCTGGAGGCTTTTCTCAGAGGAAAAGATGTTTTTGCTCTTCTCCCGACTGGTTTCGGCAAGAGTTTGATCTATCGATTGGCTCCTCTTCGTCGTCGCTCTGTTACGTCATATGCTTCGTTGATCTGATTGGTTTATTTGGCCCGTCTATCACCAACATAGGCCAATCAGCTAACCAGTATTTTCGCCCCTTCCCAAAATTACTTCAACGGAAGGTTTCCAGATGGATATGCAGAGCAAATCCATCTGGCGGAGTCAGGTTACTGGAATGTATCTTTCATTATCAGAAAGTTTAAACAGCTGAAAGTTAAGAATTCATGCTGAAACCTTCTTTGCCGTTCTTTTGGAGGTCATTGGTAAAGTCCTGGCATCCCACAGGCAGGTACTCTCCTCCCACCTCCCTGAAGATGTTGAACTCCTCCTCTAGAGTGCTGATGACAACCGACAGGTCTTTCTCTCTTACCTGCATATCAGGAACATCCAGAAATATCACAAATACACTTTTAAAACTGTTATATACAGCAGCTCCTTAAAAGTCTGCATATCCCTTTAAAATTGTTTTTGAGTTTTTGTGATGTAAAAAAATGAAACAATGACAAATTAAAATACTTTTTCTACACATATTTTAACCTTTTTCTGCAGAATTGAGAATCAAACTGTGTTAAAAGAAGAAATTTAAAATAGAAAAAGCATATTTTATTGTTTTTCAATAGTGTTTCATGACTAATATCTGATATATTGAACCTGATTAACCTTAAATCAGCTTTCTGTCTTTTCACCTGAGTCATGTTTGCAGCGGTTACCAAGGATCCTAGTTATGAAGGCCAGGCAGAAAATAGTCAAGGATGCTGCTAAGAGCCCAGCAACATGAAAAAAGGCTGGTTGTGACCTAAGTGACATCTATGACCTCATTTCTTTGGAAGTCAAAGCTATGGTGCGAAGCATTTTCTTCCAAATACATCAAATACACATCCGGATCAGGTAAAAATCTAAAGACATAAGAACTTTGTCTCATCAGATTTAATAAAGACTTTCAAAGATATGTGAACCACAAAAACAACACTAATTATTTAAATATGAACACTGTGCCCACATTGAAACATCCTGGTGTGAGCATTATGCACCAGCCTCAACTTTCTTTAGACTTAATGCATTTCATTTTTAACACAAAGTAGATGAAATCATAAATGCCTCCAAACATTAGCCAGATTTGAAACCCTACCTTTTAGCTCTCTGCTAGGAAGCTCAGAAATTTAAATATTCATTTTCTTTTTAACATCGCTGCAAGTTCAAGCATGATTTTAAACCTTAATGGTTCTAAATATGAATGGACAACTTTAAAAGATGAAGTTGGCAAGAAGAGGAAAATATTGAATACCCACCAAAGAAAACTGAGTAATGAAATTAAATAAAGAGGTAATTTAATGTTTTAGTTTACAGGTGTGCATAATGATTCAAATATAGCTTTCAAACCTTACAGGGATAAATGTCTCATCATCTGTTCTGGTCTCAGTTTTGACATCTCTAAAAAGATGTAAGTTGCCAAAGATGAGGAGTATATGCTTCTGCAAGCCACTGTAGCCTATATGTATAAAGGCATCTACCAGCTGTGTTTTACTTTCATGCATGAACCTGGATGTTTTAAAGCATTAGAAGGCCTTAGTGAATCAGTTCAAACAGCAAGTCAATCATTAACATTATTGCTGAAACAGTGGTTTTCCTTGTTGCTAAATATCTTTTGCTCATTTACTTTTTGAATGTAATAGATGAACCAATTTTCTGATGCTGTCAGCTTTGTCAGAAATGACTCTATTAAGTCAAAACACTTGTCGAAGGAGAAAATATAAACACGGTGGCATGTTTTGTCTGATGGGGAGCAGGAAGCGTGCACAACTGTGCCTCAGTGGGAGAAGTTGTCTTGTGGTGGAAGTTTTAGCTTTGATTCCAGTTTCCTGGTGTTCCCAGTATGAATGCAGCTGTATGACTAGAAATAAGTTTTATAAAAATCCAGCCCATTTGCCAATTCAGTAAGCGGCTTCTGTCATCTTTATTCTGACAGGTCGTCCTAGAGCCAACCGATATAAAGTGGAGGAGATGGTAGTAAAAGTGAACTATCTGAGCAAGAAGAAGAGGTGTGCTCACCAGGATGAAGTCAGTCTGATATGTGGAGAGCATGAAGACGGAGACGTGCTGCTGGGCTAGCGGGGCGATGACCGACTTGGCAATCTTGGTCACGCCGACAGCCTGTGAGCTGCTGGAGGCGTTGCCATTAGATGCAACATTGAGGGACAGCCAAATGGAGCTCTCGACCTGGAGGTGCTCTGAGGGCGGCAGCTCTGTTAAACATAAAGGAAAGGAACGGTGCTCCAACTGAAACCACAAATAACTCTGCTCATGACTTTCCACATGATCAGATTTAAGATTATACACTAAAAACAAAAGGTTTTTGATCATAAACCTATGTTAAGAGTTAAAAAAAATCCCTGTATTAAATAATTAGTGCATTGCACAAACGCCTGACTGCTGCATTCTTTTATATGTCAAACAGGAGGAAACTCATTGGGTTGCAAAAAGAGGACAGCCTACTGTATACCACCTGGTTCAGCTTTTACTTATCAAGGCAGGATGTCCACTTTGTGAAATGCTGTTTTATTTAGATGAATCATTTTGATTTACTCTATTAAACAGCCAATCAGGGCAAATTTTTTTTCGCCTAAAGCTCTTCTCTTATTTAACTTGATAAATTGCAACACAGCCTTATGAAATGGGCATTCATGAGTTAAATATACAACTAGGCTAGACTGTGCAACTGGACATTTATAAAATGAAAGTTTAAAAAATGTGTTGCACTGAATCATCACCTGCAGTCACAACTCCTCCCGATATCTTTTCCTGTGTCCGTTTCCCGTCTAAAACTGTAAATAAAGCCACTTGCACAACCAGAAATCAAAGAAAACAGGGAAGCGGCCTCCAGCATGGAATCTAGAGCTACATTATTTATCTCTTAGGTTGTTAAATAATCAGGCAGCTTAAAGTCTCTATCCCTTCCAGACATGTTGGGAGCTACATCTTCTCCACCTTAGGCCTTTAGTGCAGCAGGACCTCAATGACCCCCAGCGAGAAGGCTAAAGGACCCCTCTATTTATATCACTGAACCAGCACAAGTAAATATAATGCAAAGGAGAGGTCATAGTGCAAAAGAAACTAATAAGGTTGCAACTTGGGAGCCGAAAGCAGTTCATAGGCTTTTTTTTTAAATATAAAAGATGATTTTGTTTGGAGAAACCTTCCTGACTTTCTGGAGCAGGATAACTATAATCAAAATACATCTAATTAGGCATAATAAAACAAAAAAAATTAGAAAAGCAAAAAGATCAGGGCAACGCCAGACAGAAATGTAAGAACAAAAATGAAATTGTAAAATTAAAAACACCTCAACATAATTAGTAGAATGCTAAATAAGAAAAAATACATATATTCTGTATTTTGTAATTGAAGGAAAAAGGATTGTCTTTTTTCTGTTCTGTACTTTATTTTATAGCTGAGTAGAGAATTATCTTTTAAAACAACATTCAGAGTAAATAGCTACTGCTGGTTTGGGTCAGCCAGAAATCCAGACCAAACTGCCTCTGACTTTAAATGCTCCTTTTTCTTTTCTCCCCTTCAAAGAGCCTCTGCTCTAGTTGGCATAATTTGTCACAGACATCCCCTGGTGGCTCCTTAATACACCAACTCTTAGCTCCTAAAATAGGCTCTCAGAACAAGAAAACCCCAAAGGCAATATGTGTCTTCAACATCTACATGTGTGTTAAAGGATGAGGCCATAACTAAGAAGTAGCAACTGTCTAAACAAAACATCCAGCTGTCGATGACATTTCCAAAGAAATGCTGAGTATTCAAAGGGTAAAACATAATAAAAAAAAAAAAAAAAAAGTGAATGGAGCTTCTCTTCAGTGTACCATGAGAAATCTGGTGATGGTAAAAAAAGAGGCAGTATTAAAAAGTGTTAACTCATTGCTTCTATTCTCTTTTACTGGTAGTTTTCACTCCCATCAAAGTTTTAGAGGGATATCAAGAAAACAAAAATGGTAGCTCTCTCATTGATTTTCCAGAAGAAAAAAAAAATCACTACAAGAACAGTGGGAAGGTTAAAACAAACATGATTCTTCTTAAATATAAATAACTGTAAAATATAAATCTCTGTATTGTACAATTAAATCATCTTATTCTAAGTAGTGTTTTTTGGCCCCAATACCGATACCCGATACCTGGCTGTGAAGTATCGGCCGATACTGATACCATGCCGATACCATCTGTTTCAAAAAAGGAAAAGGACTAATACAAAGCAAATCCAGTAGAACTTTTTATTGCCTACTTGGAATGGGTGACAGAAGTTGGATAAACGTTTGGCTCTCAAAATGGTATCTGTGCCCTATTTGTTGGTACTCGCCGATACCGATACCACCAATTTAGCGCTGTATCAGGGCCCCGCCCAAAACTGGTATCGGTATCGATGCAACACTAATTCTGAGAAACAAAACAAAAATACTCCTTCCATGCAAAAGTATAAAAAAACGAAACATTTTCTAACACAATTTTCATGATGAGACATTTTGAGTATTATCAAAATAACAAAGAATGGCTTTACATGTAAAATCTCACTAAATTTTTGATAACTTCAAGATAAAAAACAGAGAAATAAAAAGCATAAAGACAGTCTTCCAAAATACTGACCTCACTTTTTTTCATAAGTATTCTTCTTTACTCATCAAATAAAGGAGGAACATTGAAAACTTGGATTTTTTTTCCATTTTCACCCTAATTGTTTTTTTTTTTTTTGAAGGGACACAAATTGCAAAGTATGAAGAGGTATGAAGTCTATAGAAATTACTTTAGGAGGGAAAATACATTTAAACGCTATATGATTTATAAATACTAAAAGTTTGAACTGCAAATAGATCACATTTATGTCACAATAGTTTTCAAAGCAGCTAGGTTATTTCACAATAAAAAACATTATAGAAAACATATATAGGTAACATCTGGATTTTAAGTGTAGGAGAGGTGAAGGAGTTTTTTTTTATATTTTACAAAAGAAAATATATAAAAGAAAAAGTTTTGATAAAAGCAATCTATATTCATGGAAATATATTGAGTGGATATTTGGTTGTTTATTGAGTAGGAAGTCAACCAGCAGACCACTGAGCTACGACCTCAGGCTTTGTTTGAGAGGGTAAGGTTAATCAGTTCAAAAGAAGTGCTTTTTTTTCCTCTTTCCTAAAAATATTTGGTAAGTTCCATGTCAGCACAAAGGGAACAGCTGTCTATAAATGATTCACCTGCGTACAGTAAAAGCCATTCACAATTTTCCCACTTTCCTTGATGGGCCCTTGGATGGTCCCCTACAATTCATTGTTAAACATCAATCTTTGTATTATAATATTCTTTCTGTCATGATTTGTAGACAATAAGATCTAAAGAGAAGCGTCATCTCCTGGTCAGACCCTGTAATTCAGTGAAAGGATGGAGTCAGTAAAAAAACACCCAGGAGAAAGCCAGTAGCTAAAGGTTGGAAGGGATTTTGTTGGGCGTTTGACTGGGAAGGGCCATTTTGAATGTCTGCTACTGTAATTAGTCACAACATATTCAGCTACAGATTCAGACTTTATTCTTCTCCTGAGTCATAAGAATAATCTGAGTTTTACAGCAGCTCCAGTTTGATTTTGTTTGTCCTTTCCATCTTCCATTCACATTTTAAATATTTTATTCTTTTAATGACATTTTAACAACATGCAGGAACTCCAACTGTGGATGGACTTACATTGACTGACCTTCCCTTATAGCATTTAATTTTTAGGGAAAAACGTTTATATTGAAGTGTATAGGAAAGAACTTGAACCCCAGTCGGCCTCGGCAGATGGCCGGTCACACTGAGCCTGGTTCTGCTGGAGGTTTCTTCCTGTTAAAAGGGAGTTTTTCCTCTCCACTGTCGCTACAAGCAAGCTTAGTGTGAGGGATTGTACTTGAGTCAATGAGTCGATGCAATCAACTGCTTTTCTTTAGATAGAAAACTTTGAATCAATTTGACTGAATGATCTGGTTGAACTGTAAAGTGCCTTGAGATGACTTGTGTTGTGAATTGGCGCTATATAAATAAACTGAATTGAATTGATTGACTGGTTAGTTAGGTCTTCTCTGTTACCATGGAAAGGTCACCATCAAAACTTCACTGCTGGAGATTTTGGTGTCGTTACTTTTGTACAGGATTGTCATCTATCCTAGAATGTCGAGTTATCAGCTGCCTTGTCTTTGATTTTTTTTTTTTATTCCACCCTTTTTCTTTATGTTGCTCTATTTCAGTCATTAAATTCACAGAAATATTGTGAACTATAAAATCAACAGCGGAGGGTTGTAAAAATGATGCTATTAGGTGTATATGTGTGTCATTTTACCTTTAAATCCTTCTTCATCAAGGACAACGGTGTAGTTTTCAGGCGTTTCTGTCAGGCTGAAAAACTTACAACTAGAAAGAAAAGAGAAAAAAAAACAGGATAATTAAAAACCTGAAGCGTGGAAGACAACATTTCTAAGATAGTTTTAGAGAAAACTATTGTGTATTCGCAATGAAGTAAACAGGATTTAGTTTATTTTTAACCCACTAATCAAATAAATTCCTGCTTTAGGAAGTAAAAATCCCAATTAACTTTGTAATCAGCCAAAAATAGACTTAGAACTACTATTTTTGGTCACAAATCACATGAAGCAATAGCAACCTAAATCCTGCTAAAGCAGTTTTATGAATAACTCTGGTAATAATACACAGTTATAAATGATATAGCTTGTACATGGGTGAAGGATGTTTGTAATGAATTGGTGCTATCTATAAATACACTAGGGTTGCAACTAACGAGTGCTTTGCAAATCAATTGATCTGTCAATGATTTTTTCGATTAATCGACTAATAATCAGATTGCAAAAGGTTCCCTAAAGAAGACTTTTTTGCAAAATGAAACCAGGTGAAACTCAAACCTTTCCACTAGAGGATTTCTGGATCGAGCATATTGACAGATGGAAACATTATAATATTTTTTTTTTACCTTAAAGCTACAGTGTGTAATTTTTAGCGACATCTAACGTCCAGACTGCAGACCGCAGCAACATGAACATCCCCCCCCACCGCTTCTCCCCCCCAACAGTACGGCGAGCGTACAAAATGTCTTCCACGACGTCCGCATCACCTACCGTCTCAAATGATGAGGTTTGTTTACATAGATAATTTTACAGATAGTATTTCATTAGTCTGTGTAGGGTATAGATTTCAGTTCATCTCTCTCAACTTGCTATACCCGTTATTTTTTCTAAATGGGCGATCTCGCAATCGCTAGTTTGTTGGCTCTGCGCTGCCGTAGCGCAAAGATGTCTGCCTCCATGGCTGCGAGACCCGCTCCTATGTAATTATAAATAACGAATTCTAAGGCAACGCAAATATTAAGGTTAAGAGGCTGAGCTCGTAGATGATGGTAAATAACATAGTTATGTATAATATATACTATGTATAATATGTATAATAATATATTACATTTCTGACTGTATATCCCTGTAATTATTACACACTGTAGCTTTAAAGGCTAAAGGTTTATATATTTTGGCCACAATCTCTGTATAATTGCTGTTCTAGGTGGGTTGCTCTGTTAGCTAAACGCTTGTTTTAAAGTCTCCATACTCCTGTTATGATTATTACAATAATCGCGATTAATCTGATTCATTGTTTCACCCCTTAAATATAATGTTTTGAATTAAAATAAAAACCTATTTAAAAGTGCCAAAATTAGAAGCACATAGTATTATCTTTTAAAAGTAAGCAGAATGTAAATAAGGTTGAAAATTTGTTCTGCAGAGTTAGTAGAAGATATAATCAAGCAGAATAGATGCTAATAGCAAGGAATCATAATAAATACAAAGTAAAATCATATTATAAACCTGTATTTATAAAATGGGAGCTCCTCTGAGTAACTCCCTTATAAATACATTTAAACTTGAGGAATTGGGAAATTAATACTGAACAAAATTGTTTTTTAGGCTGACTTAATTAGTTTTTCTATGTTTTAATCAAGACACCTGAGCTGCTTTGATGAGCCCTGATAGCTCAGTGTGAAAAACAGCAGAAAAATACCAGGCTGTTCTCTACATCCAGTCTGTTCCTCTGCTTGGTTTGGATGTTTGTCAAAACTGAAGGTGAACTCAAACATATAAGAAAAAGTTTTTTTTTTTTTTGGTTGATAAAAGCTTGCTTAAGTTTCCAATTCAATTTCTGGTCCCCACAAAGCAGAACAGATCCCAGCCCTATTTTATTTTACTACCTAAAAAATAAAATATTTTCATGTATACCTCGCAATGCACTCATGGACCACTAGGGGTACCGGTTAGGAATCACAGTGCTAAACCGCTGATCACAAAGACACCACAGGATACAGCAGCTTCTTGTGGAGCACTCAGCCCACAAATATAAACCCTTTTTAAGAGGAAATTTTAACCCTAAATGTTTCTTAGTTATGTAATGGCTGTGACCTCGGCCTTACTAAGAATTTTTAGGGCTTTTCAAGGATTTGGTTACCAAATCTATGGCTGCACCTAATAAGTAGCTATGCCTATTTGAACCTCAATGTCTTCTCAAATGCATCTCCTAAAATTTTTTGAGAAAAATCCCCCAAACTACTAGTTCTTTAGAGCAAAGTGAGATCCAAGATACCACTCTTACCTGCAGTACTAAAAAAATAAATGTACTTGTCCAGCTTTGTTTGTTCCCTTTGGTTAATTTTGTAATTATTGCTTTGATTTTGAATAAATCCAAGTTTAGATAGTCAGTTATCCAACAGTAAAATTTTAATGACATATAAAAAAAAACAATGAACGATCTTGAGTTTAATAAATTACAACAATAAACATTAACATCTTTATACCTTCCTTCTCAGCATATCAGTCTGCAAGAGACATTAGAGCAGAGGCATGGACGCAATGACAAAACTCCTGACTCAGCAAAGAGCAATCCCTGCCATGGGATTAGACAATGACACCACTGAGAGACAAAGAGGGAAAGACGGAGAGAAAACATTGTAACAGTAACTGCCAGCTGTGTTAGCAGCCTCCGCCAGCCCATTGTGTTGAAAAGCCCTTCTCGTTTCCTGCTGAATCTTCACCTTCCGCAGCTCGCAGTTTCCTGCAGGTGCCACGACCCTGCATGAGCGAGTGAGGCAAGTGAGTTAAAGCAATATCTCAGCTCTCTGTTGTGAAGTCATGTTTAAGAACCACATCAGTGAAACGACTGCGTATTTGGTTTCCTGTTTGCAAAGTACAGATTAGACAGATAAGAGAGGCATTAGCTCAGTGCTGACTACTTGAAAGGAAAACAGCAAAACAAAGTACTTAACATCACTTTCATAGCCTGACATACTATCCATGTATTTACAAACAGGTCTTTGAATTTTTCCTCAAACTAATATCTATCTAGACTAGATCAGACATGGCTCTTGGTAGTCTTCCCTGCTTTGCTCAACCTACAGGTTTTCTTTATAATTCAGGCCTGGGTCTCAAGTGAAGTGTCTACACGACTTTTGTTTCTTAGAGTCTTAGTTCTTTTTAATATGCCTTTATTATACTGCTCACAGCAGATATTTGCCAAATAAATACCCGTATATTCCAGACTATAAGCCCCTACTATTTTCCCATGCTTTGAACCATGCGGCTTATGCAAAGGTGCTGCTTTTATGCATATTTTTCTTATCCTCCAGTGAACGGATAGCCTCACAGTATCCAGATTGATAAGTATATAACTGAGTTGAGTTCAAAGTTATCAATCTGGGATGGCTGCCGTTCAATCTGTCCATGAAAAGGAGCGACATTTAGTACAATAATATGAGCTTATTGGGCGACATGCCAGAGAGTACTCGCCTTCCATAATATGTTTTTAGCCAATCATAGCAGCGAATCATAATGTTTTAGACTTATTATCTTCGGTGACTCAGTCATCCATGAAAGTGATCAACGGAGACACGATGACCATAATGGGATTTGTCTGCAGCTTCTTGATTTTCACAACTACCAGAGTAAGCTGATAAATCAAACTTTTTTCATATCCTGTCAGATGAAAAGCTCAGACATTTTTCCTATCTCCAAATGCACAGTACCTCTCTTTGCTCCTTTTTTAAACAAGAAATTGACGCTATTTTAGCTAAAACCACGTCAATTGTGGTATCGACAGGCAAGTCCTTCAGGGTAGCCATGTTTGTCATGCAAGGCCCTTATGACTGCCGTCATTCCTACATGTCCCGTCCCAAAAAGCACTGCTGGCATGTCATTGGTCTGACTTGCTGGTTGTTACGAGATGGACGCATTAATGGAAGTCTTTCAAGACGAATTTGTTGTGAGACTGAAAACTCAGATCTCGCGACAATCCAGCTTGCAGCTCAAGGTTAGGAGATGCAAGTCAGAGTTGGAAATCAAACATGAAGGGGCTAATGTTCATTTACACAAGCAAACGGTAGCAGCAGGCATGACGGAGAATTAGTGTTCCGATATCACACATTTTGACATTTATTTGTCGCATTAATGCTGTGAAACACATGAAGAGACTGTGCAACACCTGCAGACATGAAATAAAGAGCTAAGAAGCCCCATCTTTCATTAGAAGCTCTTAATGTGATGAGCAAACACGCTAACAGGAGCTAGTATTCTTCTTCTCCGTCCCTACTCTAGGAGCGGCACATCGAGTTCCCCCTACAGGTTTGGTGGGAGACAGTTCAGTATACATCAGTGGCTTATAGCACGGTGAAGCTTATAAAAGTGCGTTTCAAGTAAAAAAAAAAACTTTGTTCAGGTTACAGTAATGTGCACTCTATAGTCCAGATAATACTGTATGGGCTATTGTCCAATAGTTGAGAAAAAGCTGCCTTTCTGACAGAATGTGTTTTTTTTTAACCCTCACAACCAAAACAAGGTATCCTAAAAAGCTAATCTCCAGATGATCTTAATTTGCTCTTCTACTCAAATATGCTACTCTTAAAGGGGAACGCTATTTTTTTTACATTGTGCCCTTGATTTTACGTTGTTACATCATGTTCTACTCACCCATATAAGTTTTGTGTCATTTGGAGCCTTTCTGAAGATATTCCATTAGGTTATATCCAAGTAACGTCTTCCTATGGGCAAGGACTTGCAGACACAAACTAAACTGTTCATAATTTATTCTTTATAAATTACGCCAGCATTCATAACATGTAGGCGAATCACTGTCCCCCAGACATACGCGGTTATATTTTTTATATCTATTATTTTTTTTAAACAAAGTGGCGCGTGTATGATGTCACCCGCTAGTGCCAGCTACCATTCATTCCTGTCCACTGAACTGCTGCTAGTTTTACTAGCTACACCACGGTGTAGTTATCTGGTCAGTATCTGGAATAGGTTCAACCGGCACAATGCACTTCATAATCTGGACTGTTGTATGGTAAAAAGCCTTCCAAAGGT